CAAAATGAATGCTCCCAAAAGGTCCTTATCACTCCAACCTAACCCATAATTGAAAGTCTAATCTCACTAGTGAATGTATGCCAACTTTCCAATTTTAAGGAAAATCCGGCAGCATTTCGCCCCAGTTCTTTAAGTACACAATGTAGATAATTACTTACCTACATATGCACCTAGAGAACATGGTGACAAAATGCTAAGCCGAGATATTCCTTAAAATCGAAAAAGAGACATACATTCACTACCTAAGTGAGATTACACGTCCAAGAACAGTCCCAACCGGGAACTATTCAAGACTTCCTCCTAATGAGAAAGACTCGAACGGGTATCTAGGCAAATGATGATGCAAGCATTCAATAATTTGCATTTGTTTGACATTTAACAGAACACAAGTTCATTCATTCATTCATATAATGCTAATTGGACTACCTACAAGAAAACTAAGCTTACTTACAATCCATTCATTAATTCATCACTTTTTAGCTACTCAAATTGAAACAACTTATAACATTATATAATTAAGGTAACAATTAACATTTTGTATACAAATAATTAATAAAATAATTAACATAAAATTTGATTAACTAAAATTGAAACCCTAAAATTTGGGAAATTGTTAACAATATATAGATAATGAAGTAAAATTAAGCATGAACTCACCCTGAAAGAAGGAATGTGGGGTGAGAGGGAGAGGTGTGGTGGCTTGGTGGTGCGTGTGAAGGTGAGAGGGGCAGCACGCAGAGGGTTGCAGCAATGGAGGCAGCAGGGGCAGCACGACGGAGGGCGACTGTGGTGGAGGCGGCGACGATGCTGCAACAGCACCCTATGGTGGTTGTGGTGGTCGGAGCAGGAGCAGCAATCCTAATTCCTAACAACACAAAACCGTGAAGCACGAAAATGGTGCAAGCACTCAATGAACAAATTGAAGGTTGTTGTTTTGGTGGGTATTAGAAGCACGACAATGGTGGTTGTGGGCTGTTGTGTGACGATGTGTGAAAGTGAAAGAGGAAGCGAATTGAAGGAGGGATTGAAAGCAGCAAGAACGAATTGATGAAGGAGGGAATGAACGAAATGAAGAGGGAAGGAAGAAAGTTTAAAAGCCGGTTTTTTTTTTTTTTTTTTTTAAAAAAAGGAAGCGGTTTGAACCGCTTATAATTACTTTTTAGAAGTGGTTCAACCTAAACCGCTTCCAATTCTCCTCTTGTTTTTTTTTCCCGGGTTTTTGTACGGAATTAGAAGCGGATTCCAATAACCGCTTCCAATTAGTGGCTTCCCATTACCTATTTTCTACTAGTGTTTGCACTAAACCACCATTCTACCACCCTCTTCTCAGCCACCATCCTTCCTTCCTCCCCGCACCCATCCACCACCACCCAGCCACCTCCTCTCTCCTCCCCCAAACGTACGACCACCTCCTTTCCCTCCTCCCCCACGCGCAGCGACTCCTAGAGACAATACGGCCGACGCCTAGCTTCCCCACCACCACCACCCAGCCAGCCTTCATCGCAGCAACTCTCATATCCCAATTTTGGTTTTTGGGGTTGAGTGAGGGAGATGCGGCGCTGCTGGTTGCGAGGGAGAGTCGGGGTTTGTAAGTGTTGTTGCTGTTGTGGTTAGTGGGTCTAGTGTTGAGGGTTTGCGATGGTTGGTGTTTTAGGTGGTGGCGAGGGTTTCGCCGTGTTCAGGGAGTTTAAGGGTGGCACTGGGGTGCAAATTGTTGCGATTTGTGGGGCTGTGTGGGTGGCAACTTGTTGGTGGTGGAGAGTTGCGATGTTTGGTGATTTCGGAGGTGCGAATGGAAAGAGGGGTTGAATTCTAGATGATTGAAGCGGCTGCTCTGCTTTGGTGGTTGTTGAGGTGCGACAATTGGTGGCGAACAGGGGAGGTGATGGTTGTTTGAGGGAGCAGTGCTGCTGTGGTGGTGCGACAGTAGATGCGGTTTAATTTATTATGGAGGGATTAGCACGTGGTGGTTGGTTGTTAATTGGTGGAGAAAGGGATGCGTGGTTGATGTGGTTGCTGCCGGTGGCTCTATTTTGCGGCTACTACTGTGTTGCGTGGTGGTTTTGGTGTTGTTGATGCCGCTGCTGTTATTTTGTTGTTGTGGAAATGGGCTGGTGGCAGTGGGTGGGGCTGGTTACATCAAAGGCGGCAGTGGGTGGGGCTATGGTAGTAGGTAGCCATGTAAGGGGTGGCCATGGTGGGAGAAAAGAGATTTTTTTTTTAAATATAAAATAAAACAAAATAATCTTTAAAAATTAACAACATTAAATAAATTTTTTTAAAAAAATTATCTTTTCTGACCAATAAAATGATGACACGTGTCCATACAACCTATTAATCAGGTTACCATTCCTTACCAACAGGTAATAACCTGTTTAAAGCGGACACCCCCAAAGGTGGTATTATTCTGGGATAATCAAAAGGTAGACTTGTTTTTAGCGTACGGGCTAAAGGTCGTATTATTTAAAGCAATTTTTCCAAAAATATTTTAAAAATATTTTAAAAATAATTTAATTATTACACAATTAAAAAAAATCTAACCCTAGTTAAAGATTTTAACCAAAATAAATCATTAGCATTATGGTTAATCTACACTAATAATTCATTATTACCAAAGATAATTGGAATTTTTGTTGTTCACTATTGACAAAAATATAAAACTAATGACCATCAAAGAGAATTTCCAAAAAAAAAAAAAAATATATATATATACAAAATATGAAATATATATATTTCAAAATTTCAATTATTCATTATTTTTTACCTTAAATACAATTGAATTCATACTATCCGATTACTTATTTTCACATTGAAAATACCATATACCCAATATATATATATATATATATATATATATATATATATACTTTTTTTTTTTTTTTTTTTTTTTTTTTTTTTTTTTTTTGATTAAGAGCAATATATATATACCTTATTAGCTGTTTCTTTGCTCTCCGCATGTTTAAGAGATTTTTTATTTTTTTTTCCTTACAATGCTTTAAAAAGAAGTTTATGCTTACAAATCACATAAATAAAATTATGTGTTTATGCTTACAAAATTATGCTTAAAAAAGAAGTTTATGCTTACAAATCACATAAACAAAATTGCCTCCCCAAATACTCCCTCATCCCTTAAATTTTGCCTCATTTTTTTTATCCTAGGTTGTTCCAATTTAGTTAACTTGACCCTTAAAATCTCTTTCTACTTTATGTGTTATCCACGTATATTATAAGACATTTGCTTCCTTTGTTTTAAATTACTTGTAAACTACTATTTTGACACACATTATAATGGAGATATTAGATAAGGTAAACAGATAAATTAATTATCAAAATTTTACCACATATAAGAAATAAGTTACTACGATTTAAATTTTATATTTACTTAACTTAATCACGTCCTCAAGTAGCGTATCAAAAACGTGTGTTGCTTGTATAATTGGACATTTGATTACTATCTAATGATTTATATTTAGGAAGGGTTGCATATAAGATGCTAAAAGTGAAAAAATTAGACAATAAATAAACATATATTTCACCGATTTACTCATGAATTGTCGATAAATTCCCAACTTAATATTAAAAAAAGAAGTATCAATAACTATATACTAAAAGACACACCAGTAATGACACGTGTCATCTTTTGGTGTGTCCTTAGTATATTTTTGTAAAAAAAAATAATAATAATAAAATAATTGATAGTATAGAGAATATACGCATAATATTTTCTTCCAAAATTTTTTAAAAAATCGTAAAATAATCAACTTAGATATCTAACCATATCTTTATATAAATTTCTATATAAATAATTACTTTTTAATGCATAAATAATAATTATTTATTGTAAAAAATCATGTTTATAAATTTTTCAACCCACATAATTGGTGAATGAAAAATTATCAATTGTGAAATAAAACAAATATGCCATTAGAGTTCAAATAGAAGAAAGCTTGAATAAAAAAATAATAATATATAGTCATAAAAGATAGAAAAAAATATTTTAAGCTCCTTGATTTGGGATAAAATAAGAAATAGATTCTGGATCAAATTATTTTTTATATTTAAATATAGTTTTAAATTGATACTCCGTAATAAAGAGTGAAAAATCGTGCATGGCACGGGATCTAACCTAGTCAATCAATAATTATATACTAAAAGACACACCAGCAATGACACGTGTCATTTTCTGGTGTGTCCCTTAGTTTTTCTAAAAAAAAAAAAATCATTTAGGAAACAAATCTTAAACAAAAATAAAGTATAACAAATTTATACATAAATAAAAGATTTGATGTATCCTAGACAATTATATTTGAATATTTTTATATAATACAGTGTATGAGAAGCTCCAAGAAAATAATATGAATATTAAAAATTACTTAAAATTAAATATTTGATATATCCTTCCACAAAATATATTAACAATTACGGAGTATAAATTTAAGAAAAAAAAATCGGATTTATAAATGTGACATATTGAGTGTAATGTACTACGTTTACTACAACACCAATTTACTTTCAAAAAAAATTAAAATAGAAATCTATTTACGGATTAAATACGTATTACATAATTTTAAGAAATTCATTTGGTTAATAAGAAAAAAAAAATACAATTTGTTGGTAAAATATACAAAAATATATAGATATAGTCAAATGCTATTTAAATACCTATCTGACTAAGAGGCTCTTTCATATAAATTCATTATAATATTATAGATAAATTATGCTTTTTTAATTAAAGGTAGTTTTAATTTAAGAAAAATTATTTAAAATTACCGTGCATGGCACGGGACCTAACCTAGTATTAAATATTAGCATTACCTTTATATTTAATGCAAAATAAGGTATATAAAATCTTATTAGAATATTTTTTAAAGTAAAACTAAGCTTGAGATATTAACCATAAAACTAATCTTGGGAATTCTTTTTCTTTTTCTCTTTCTTTTTTTTTTTTACTTTTTTTTTTATTTTTTGAAACCAATCTTGGGAATTCAATAATCAGAGAATAGAGGAAGTAATATTAATCTATCATCTTGAATAATAAAACTAATAATTTTCATCGGAATGCGAATCTAAAGTCACACAAGACACAGCCGACATACAAGAATAATTTCCTAGCACATCTTTTACAGTAAAGATGGACCATACTGCTATTACATCGTAAGAGCAAAATAAAATCCAAACCACAATTATGCCTTGAAAATCATGCTAATATTAAATTATTTAAACCTTCTAGATTACTACTATATAATACTTATGTCTTATAATACTATATATAATATGATATGACACAACTATTAAGAGAGGATGTAACATCGACTGGCCTTTTCATTCAAGGGCACTTAGGCTTGCCTCCATGGGTGGTCATATCTGTGTAACACCTACCACATTGTTCTTTGTTGCCGTATGTGCCCGGTGGCACGCATTTGCATCTTGAACAACAAGTCGAGCAAGCCCTCACACATAGCCGCTTCCTCGAGTGCAATGAACACCTTTTCTCGCACAAGGGTACACAATCTGGACCACGTAGGATAGGAAAGAGTATGTTAAAACACGAATGTATAAGCAATGATGAATATATCTCCGAGATTAGATAAGTTTTCCAATCTCGGGGGGCCATGTATTTGGATATGATGAGATTCATGACGTGACAAGTATATAAATGTATCCCAACGTGTTTCAAACTAGGTCTTCACTTTAGATGTATTATTAATGAGCCCTGAGGGAGACATTTATACAAGACCCACACCCCAATACTAGATCTACACAAATCTGTCCATTTCATAATGTTTGTGTACTACTACCTTCAAGCTAATTAATTTGTGGTAAATGTTACGAGATTAATTGGTAATAAAGAGCTAGACATTTAGTACTGTCGTAGAGTATTGAATTGAATTGAATAGAATACAACAGAAGAAATAATTATGTATATTAAAGATAGCCAACTGAATAACATAATGAAATGATGACATTTCAGACATGACACAAGTGCAACATTAAGAGTTTAAGACTTCTTCATATGTTACTTGGTATATAAGAGGGACTGAAAGGGAAAAAAATGTTGTTCAATTTCGGCAACATCTAAGATGGGATTATTATGAATTAACATAAACATTAGTGCAAATTAAGCAAGTAAAAAATATGTAAAAGTAGTAAAGATGTGGGGGATAGAAAATAGCACCTTCTTTTTTAACTGGTGGTAGACTGCCGTAGTAAGGTGCAGGGGAAGGTGGCTTGACAAGTGGGGGAGTAGGAGCAACGACGGGTGCCTTTGGTGGGTATGGAGCAACCACGGGTGCCTTAGGCGGGTTTGGTGCAACGAGGGGTGCCTTAGGAGGGTAAGGAGCAACGACGGGTGCCTTAGGTGGTGCAACAATGGGTGCCTTAGGTGGGTATGGAGCAACAACTGGTGTCTTTGGTGGTGCAACAATGGGTGTCTTAGGTGGTGCAACCACTGGTGCCTTTGGTGGTGCAACGACGGGTGTCTTTGGTGGTGCAACAATGGGTGCCTTTGGTGGTGCAACCACTGGAGCCTTTGGCGGTGCAACGATGGGTGCCTTAGGTGGGTATGGAGCAACCACAGGTGCCTTTGGCGGTGAAATGATGGGCGTCTTAGGTGGGTATGGAGCTACCACAGGTGCCTTTGGAGAAGGCGCTGTAGATGGGTATGGGGCAATTACCGTTACTGGTGGGGACGCCTTCGGGGCAGCAGCTGGTGTTGGTGTTGCTGAACCTGGTAGTGGTGCAACATATACCCCATCCTAAAAACATAACCAAACAAAGCAAAAATTCATAAATTATCCAGAAATCAAAGATTAGTTATTACATTAGTCTTAACATTCTTTTTTTATTAACTAAAGTAATTCTAACGTTTCCAATGTACTACAAAAGTTACTCCATCTTTAAAAACAAAGCTGCGTCTATTTCGGCATGCCATAATATTATACGCCTGATGTTGTTCCATTATGAATTATCATTACAGAAAAATATAAGGAATCAATTACTTGTGATTTCAGTCCTACTTTCTGCTCACAAACCAACTTGTTAAAAAGATACTGTAATAGAGTTGTTAACTTGTTACTCCGTAACAAAGCCATCTATGTAAAATAATTAATGGTGAAATTTAGTACAGATAATTGTACATGTATTTTCACTAAAAAGGAAACTAATTACAGGTGAATCCAAACTTTTACATTATCAAATCTAATGTCTTGATAGGTGGTACCAAAGAACTCGAATTAATTCCATTTCTGCATTACTAAAAAAAATGTAAAGCATCTTTCGTCTAGCAACTACCAACACTTGAAATAGAAAAAAAAATTCTTTTTGAATTTCACAAATCTAGACGCCTTTTCATATTTAGACAACAGAGATTAAACAATTAAACATTAATTACGGAGTAACATTTTGCGTAAAGAATACTCCGTAGACCATAGTTATGTGTCAAAACACTGTATTTAAACACACTTAAAAATTAGCTCATGTAGGTGCACAAGATATTCTGTTTTAGTACGATCTCATTATAAATATTACAGTAAAAGGTTGAAAAGAAACAAGAATACATGAAACTAGTTATAAGTCTTCTATTCTCATCCGTACAAGTTCGATGCATAAAATCATGTATACCATGTCTCATAAATTAAATCATAATCTAAGTCAACTTAATACGGAATGCTCCTTACGTGTTTTAATAAGAGTTACAGTTTGACCAAACACGCACGTCGAGACACGACTTTGACCATTAATTTATCTAACCATATGCTAATAAAATTATAGGAAAATTCATATTATGAAATTATATATTATAAAGAATCCAACAATGTATTATACAATCAATTTATTTTTTATATATTAGTGAATTAATCAAGTAAAAATCATTAAGTGAATAGTGAAAAAAGTCAAACTGTACCACTTATCAAAATACGGAGGGAGTACCATTTTTCTAACTTGTGTCTTGTAATGAGAAAACTTGTAAAACTTTACTTTGTCAAAATTAAAGGCCAAGTAAGATAAATAACCATAAGGAAGTTCTCCTCCTGAGAGGAATTCTTAATAAATTATCAATAAGGTAACTAAAAAGTGAAAATACGAAGTATGTTGTAATGTACTTCAAATTAGTAGTCATAGATAGATGATGGATACATTCATACAAAAGGAAAATGGAATAATTGCACTCACAGGTTACTTTCATTTTTTTTGGATATAACATGTGAAGTACCGATAATTATTTGATCATTTACCATCATTCTCTTTTATTTAGCCTATTTACCATCATCTATATTAGTACTTTAAAAAAGTGGGCTTAAGTTTCATTTAATTAACTTAACTAAATGCAATTCGTAATTGATAAATAATCAAGCCAAATGTCAGCAAGAGTTACATATGTTATAGTATTTGGAGTGACTCATCAAACTTAGATCATGCACTATCACCTTGTATCAGGGAATGTTGCTCACCGACTAGTTTAATGAGTAATAAATAAATAGTTATTGTAATGACGAGGTTTGGCTTGACGATGTTCCTACTTAAATCACCGACTTGGTTCAATCAAATTAATTCCCAATTAACTCTACTTAATCAAAACTTACACTCATTTTTTTTTTTTAAAAAAGCTAATAAGCTACTTTTAGTTTTGATTTATTTCTACCTACTATACAAGAGAATAGCCACAATAATTTGTAGATCTAACTTATTTTTCACTACTTTGTTTTATTTAATTACAACACAGAATTCATACTTGCCTGTGCACATTTTATGTCATTTTATATATTTAATGCCCTTAAACGTATATTTTAAAAAGAAAAAGTTGACAGATAAAATAATACAGCATAAATCAAGACGATTCTACCTAACTATGTTTTTCCGAGTATATAAATCACAAAAGCAAAGATAGTTTGACTACATGATACGTAGTATGTGTAACTAATGTAAAATTTTAACCACGGTGGTAAAAAACAATGGGAGGAAAAAGTTACTCCATACTAAACAAACAAAAAGACAATAACCTAGGAGTTAGATTCTTGTAACTACATAGATACGCCAAAAAAAAAAAAAAGGCAAAACAATCCTACAAAACATATCTAAACAAAATCACATAGTTGATAATCTTATCTAAGAAGCTAATTTGTCTTTACCAATTAACCCAAAATAACAATCAATTAAAGCAACATAATAACAGAAGCTCAAAAAACAAAACTAACATACAAAAACTGAAATAAGAGAGAATGAGAGAGAAAATGACATACTGTGGTAGCAAACACAAGGAGGGCGATGAGGAGGAAACAATAAGAGTGGTTTGAACCCATTTTTTTTTAGCTAAAAAGAGAAAGAGTAACAGTAGAAGAAAACAAAGGCAACTCCAAAGGAGTTGGGAGAAAGTGAAGTTAAGAGTGTTAAGTGTGTGGAGTGATGGATGAATCCAAGTGACAACATAAGATATAAATAGAAGGAAGAGGTGGGAAGATATAAGGGATGACAGTAAATTGCAAGCTGTAAGTTTGTCAGACGTCTATACAAGTTACTAGTAATATCCCCACATTTTTAAAATGGAATGAGCTTGAATAATTACTAGTCCTTTCGTTCTTTATTGGTTGTCTCATACCTGTTTTGTATTTTATTTTTTTCATGTACAGAGGTTAAATAAAAATAATAAAAAGTAATAAGATATAACGAAACAATTAATAAAATACGGCTGTAAAAGAAGAGTGAAGCAAGTAATAAAATAAGGATGGAATACTAATGTAAGGGACTCTGTATATATGTAATGTAAAAGAAGCTAGCTTTTGGGCTTATTTTTATACTTTCGCTACTCTTTTTTATTTGACTAATTTCTTTTATCACACTTGTCAATGCAAAACTTTAACGATCAATAGCTTTAATTTTTCATAAATAAAAAAATATAAAAGTTATATATTATGATAATACTTAGTGAGACGAATTCAAACAGATCCAACATGAATATGTTTTTCCTAACATATTATTCACAAAAGACTGTCAAAGGAGGGGTGTTGAATAGTGTAAAAGTCAAAGAGGGTCAAGTTAAAAATAACGGAGGAAGTAGTTTAATTTAGTTGAGCTAAACTCAATTCATTATTTAACATCAATTCAGTTCAACTCAAAAGTACAGGGTCAAAGAAGTCTTTTTGTTTCAGAATAATTGATAACCTTCCTTGGATATGTAGAATAGGAAGATAATATGTGGAAACCATAAAAAAGACAATACAAAAATTTCATTCTTATATGACAACCCATTTGTTTGGGGTAAACCTCCCCTATGCCACGTGGCCCAATAGCAAGCTGACACGTGGCAGCCCTTGAAAGGCCCAATGGGATTCAATCGGATGCTGACACGTGGCATTGTAACCCTAATGGGGGAGCAGATCTTCATCTGCTATAAATAGAGAAAACTCCTCATTTATTGCACATTCACAAATATTCAGAAATCCTCATAAATACAAACACCAAAAACCAAGCAATATTAATTGCGGAATCTCTCTGAATCAGAGAGAAAAACCCATTTACTTTCCGCACTTTTCTACATCCAGAGACGTACTAACTTGACCTTCGGAGGCGGAACTCCACCCAACCGGAGTTTCGTAGTTTTGCATGTACAGAGGGACTCTAAAAACCCCCGAAACATTTGGCGCCGTCTGTGGGGAGAGTACTTCTGTGATGGCATCCGATACTGTAGCGCCTGGTGAGGGCAGACGGCCTACGGCCGAGCTTGAGGTCCATACGGACCAGGATAGTGGTGACGATTATGAGGTCGACAACTATGTGGCCCTAGACCGGTCATTTCGAACAAGGCGCACCTGTTTTAAAGAAACAAGGGAATGGGGCGAAGACAAAGCTGGTCCCAGCAACCCAGCCGGCAAGCCTGCTGGGCAGCCCCAGGCAGAGGAGGGCACAACCCCCGTCACCAGAGACGAGCTCATGAAATTCATGACGAGTTTTAAGGGGGAAATCAAAGACATAATCAAGAAGTCAACTGGCTCAAACAAGGGTCATTGGCAAAGATGCCTTTTTTCATCTGGGAAGAAGCACCTAAAAGACCGGGTGCCTACTCCTCACCCTAAACCAAAGGGGACGGATGGGCCCCTGATCGACCTCTCCAAACTTCGTTTCCCTGAATCAGGGCAAAGGAAAGTCATCCGGCAAGTTCAGCCGGATGGGTCAAAAAAGACTTACTCTAACGCCCGGATGTTCATCCAGGAGAAGAGAAGTCAACAAATGTCTGAGTCGGCCTCAACGTCGACTTACCCAGACAGTTTCCGTAATACTTCAATGAAGTATTCAGAGACAAACCAAGGGAGTCAGTCACGCGGTATGTCCGCACGTACTAGCCCTCAAATCATCCAACCGGTTCCGTATGTGCCCCAACAGCCATACATGATGTATGGATCACCATACATGCAGCCGGCCCTTTTCGGGAGTCCGGCGGCACAGCAGGTCCAGCCCATGGACTGGCAGCTCCAACTACTAAACCTTGGGGAACAGCCATCGACGTTCTCCAGGGAGATAACCGAGGCGGCTCAGCCGACCAAAGTTAAGAATGTGTTGGTCAGTACCTACAACGGTACCACCAACCCGGAAGACCACCTAATGGCTTACACCAACCTCATGTACCTATAGGGGTTGGAGGACGCCGCCTGGTGCCGATGCTTCCCGACAACATTGAAGGGCATAGCCCAAAGATGGTTTCACATCCTGCCTGCCGGGTGCATCAACAATTTTAAGACGCTTGCATACCTGTTTGCGTCCAACTTCTCCATGAATATCCTTGCCAAAAAAAGACAAGTCTCGACCTAGGGGCTATTCAGCAGGGAGACAAGGAGGGACTACGGTCCTACGTCAGGCGGTTCCATCTGATGAGAATTCAAATTCAGGAGCTGTCTGACGAAGTTGCCTACACAGACTTCTTCAAGGGTCTGAAGGACGGGCCGACCTTTAAGTTCGACTTGGTCCGCAAGAGGGTTGCTACCCTCCAAGAGGCGCTGATGGAAGCCGAAGCCTATATACAGGCGACGGAGCTCTGTACCATCAAGCACTCGTCGGGGCCCAGGAGGTCCGACAGGAAAGAAAGTCGGCCTGCTCAGCCGGCCAAAAAAGAAGAGAGTAAGAAAAGAAAAGAAGTCTGGGCGGCAGATCGCTCTGCTCAGCCGTCCCAGAAGAAACAGAGAAAGTTGGAACCGTACATACCCAAGTACGAGTTCAACAAGGACTGCTCCTCCATCCTCATGGAGATTAAGACCGGTTAACAATTGAAAAACCGGCAGCAATGAAGAGTTCTATCAAGAACCGTGACAAGAGCAAGTACTGTCACTTCCATGAGGATGTCGGCCATGACACCAATGGTTGCTATAGCCTCAGGCGGCTATTGGACCGTCTAGCTTATGAGGGGGCTTTGAAGTCCTACCTGGTGAAGTCCAAGGGTAACCCCAAATCCAACAACGGACAACCGTCAAAGAAGCCGGCTGTGAGCTCTGACACTGATGAAGAGCACATCTTCACCATAGCAGGCGGCTTCGCGAGCGGTGGTCCTACCATCCAAGGTACCAAGAATAATATCAGGAAACTATCCAACCCAGTAGATGAAGGCCAGGCGTCGAAAGACACCTTCCCTAAGGTCTTCATCTCTGAGAAGGATCAGGGTATGGTCAGGCGGCCCCATGATGAACCAATTGTCATCGAATGCAAGGTTGCCAACCAACGAGTGGGTCGGATCCTCATTGATACCGGGAGCTCATCCGACCTGATTAGTTATCAGTGCTTGGAAAAGCTCAAGTACAAGCCTAGCAGTATGCACAAGGCTTCTCACCCCCTAGTCGGCTTTGGGGGAGGAGTAGTGCATCCGGTGGGGAGAATTGACCTACCCATCCGGCTAGGAGAGAAGAGGGAAGGACGACACATGGTCGTCAAGTTTTTGGTGGTCGAGGAAATGACCGCCTACGATCTCATTCTAGGTCGTCCTACCCTCAACGAGTCTAAGGCAGTCATCATCCCATCCCTCATGCTGATCAAGTTTGAGAGGGATGACGGGTTAGTGGGTTCCCTGAACGGGGACCAGAAGACGGCTAGGGAGTTGCTACCTCTCAAACGTCAAGCCGACTGCTATTGCAGCCGGCCATAACGAGGAGCCCATTGACCTTGATGACTTCAAGGAAGCCGCGCCTGCTCTCAAAGCATCCGGCAAAAAGAGAAAAGCGGACCATCTGGTGGCCGTCTAAAAAGAGAAGCAATAGCAATCACTGATCGGGGAACGATCATCAGAGGATCTCCGGCCCCAGCCGGCTGGTGATACTATTGATATTATTCTAGACGACAGCCATCCGGAAAGAACCGTAAAAGTGGGGACGGTTGCTTTTGCAAAGTTGGGTGCAGACTTGCACCAACTGCTGAAAGAACTCAAAGACATATTTGCCTTTGAAGTGGAAGAGATGTCAGGCGTCAGCCTGGATCTTGATGTCCACGAACTTACCGTGGATCCAAAAAAGAAGCCGGTTAGCCAAAAGAAAGGGAACCACGGCGAGGAGAAATCTCAGGGGGCAGCCGCCGAGGTCAAGAAGCTACTGGATGCCAGGTTCATTAGGCAATGCTACTACCCGGATTGGGTAGCCAATGTCGTCCTTGCCAAAAAGCCGAATGGAACTTGGCGGATATTTGTTGATTACACAGATCTAAACAAGGCATGTCATAAGGATAGTTATCCACTTCCAAAGATCGACAGTCTAGTCGACTCTACAGCTGGTCATGCTTTGATGAGCTTCATTGATGCCTACTCAGGCTTCCATCAGATACCCTTGTGGAAAAAAGATCAAGAGAAGACGACATTTGTCACTGATCAAGGGTTGTTTTGTTATACGGTGATACCGTTTGGGTTGAAGAATGCGCCTGCTACCTTCCAACGGATGATTAATACAGTCTTCATTAATCAAATTTTGAGGAATGTAGAGGCATACATTGATGACATGATAGTCAAATCCAAGCTTCAGACGGATCACCTTGTTGACCTCCGAGAAACCTTCACCACCCTCAGGCGGCATAGGGTCATGCTTAATCCCAAAAAGTGTGTCTTTGGTGTTGAGTCTGTGAAGTTTGTCGGATTCTTGATTGATCAAAGGTGGATAGAGGCCAATCTAGAAAAAGTACAGGTGGTAATTGACATGAAGTCACCCGACACTGTCAGAGACGTCCAAAAACTAACCGGTTGTTTGGCGGCATTGGGGAGATTCCTCAGCCGGTCAGGTGACAAGTGCCTCTACTTCTTCTAGGCAATCAAGAAGAAGACTAGATTTGAATGGGGGGAGAATGCTGAGGCGACATTCTAGAAATTGAAGGAGCACCTCCACTCTTTGCCACGGCTGGTCAGCCCTCTAGCAGGAGAGGTTCTCTACATGTACTTGGTTGTCTCAGATCATGCCCTCAGTGCCGTTCTCCTAGTTGAGAGA